CGCCGCCGCCGCCCCTCCCCCCCTTAAAGTGGCCGCGCTCCGGGCTTCAAGCAGGAGCCCTCAAACCGGCGAGACTACGACCCAGTCCTCTGCGCTTTCGGTATCTGCTGGGTTTAGGGATCCGAAGAACCCTGCGACAGACCTACCAGGTCGCCCTCGTGCACCTACGAGGATGCGAGCTGCAAGACTGCTATTTTTAACATTTCCATATTGTTTACCGTGGGGAGAAATCCCACAATTCCTTGCACAAATGCATAAATAATATTAAGTGAGCTGCCGAGATACAAAGGGACTTTTGTAGTCCTCTTTCCTTGCTGGTGGAGAGGAAAATTGTCACTTACATTTGACTTTGGTAACCCGGCGGCGTCCTGTCTTGTACGCAGAGCAAATGCGCAGGATACTTCTCCTTCAGGCACTTATGCTAGGTGCGCGCGCGTCTGCGTGTACTGGGAGGTGCGTGCACCCCGTAGAATCCACCTCGGGCGCTGGGCTTCGGGAAACAGGCGCGGATCCGAAGCAGCGCGTGATGCAGTTTGGGGAGCCCTTTTCGAAAGGAGAAATGAAGGAAGACAGGGGTGGGGGTAACTAAATCTATTTTGGAAAGGAGAGCGGGGCTGATTTTTCAACCAAACGAGCAAAGCCATGGGGACAAAAAATACCCCGGAGAGGAGTTAACCCCGCAATTCGGCCCAATTGGGCCCTCACCCCATAACTACCATAATTCAAGAGCTACGGGACTGCTCATCTCATTTGCTTACCTTAAAATCATTTAAACTCGTTTTATAGGAAAGCAAGGCTGATTAGAAAGAAGCACACGAATCTGATTACAGGATGGGGGCCCCTATTTATTTTCCCCTCTCTTTTCTTTATCCCCTTCCAAAACCCCTGGCCACAGTTGCTGTCAGAATGTCCAGCTCCCTTTTCTTCCTGCATTAGCTCCTTCCAATTTGCTTACTTCTCTGCACTAAATGCCCTTGTGCCCCAAGCTTGCTTCACCCTTCAAACTCCATTTTATGGAGATGTGTGAAGACCGAGAACTGACCAGGACTGCAGCTCTGAGCTGCAGGAGCGCTGGTGCCACGTGAACATCCTTGGTGCAGAGACTGCCTGGCAGAAGAAGCCCCAGCCCACTCCATAGGGTCCCCCAGGCTGCTGGGGGCTCACTCAGCTGAGTTCCAGGCTGGGGCAGCCAGCAGGGACCTGCCAGGCCAGAGTCTTGGCCCCGGGCCACCGCAGCAAGACCTGCAAGGCCATCTTTTCAGGGGTGTCCCAGCCTGGTTCCACACTCATTGCCTGCACAGGCTCCGTCCACACAGCAGGCTCCAGGATGCTGCGCAGAGTGGGTGAGAAGGTACAGTTCCCAAAATGCTGTTCCAGGAGAATAAACTGGAGTATGTGGGAGCAGGGGTTCTGGGCTTCGTCCTCAGCACTGAAAATGGCCTGCAGCCTGGATGTGGGCAGGCACTAGAGGTAGACCAGTCTTTTCTGAGTCTGGGTAGGGTGGGGAAGGCGCTAGACACTCCTGGTGCCCTCTTCTCTTCCACTACTAATCTAAGGGAGAGGTCTTCACTCTATTTTTTCTTTTTCTTTTCTTCTCTTCTTCTTGGTAAGGATCCTCCCTGGGTCTCAAACACTCAAACTCCGCTTGCCTCTAGGAAAATGGGGTTGCTGAGGGAACATCTTATAAACACTTGCTTAGGGTTTCTGTGGGGCGGGGGTGGGTGGAATTGCCTATGACTCTGGGGACCCCGTCACAGCCCAGGAACGATGGCCCTAGTCCTTCCTGTCTCTTGAGCATGGAGAGGCAGAGCAAGGACCCTAGGGTGTGAGCTCCCTGCACAGCCACCCAATGAAAACCAATTAGGTTGTGTGCTGACCAGGATTCTCTAATTTTTTGAGACCTTAGGCCTTGACTGCCTGAGCCTCAGGTACCCAGAGCCAGACCCCACCCACAGCTGCAACCTGAACTCCTATGTCTCCACAGGTGTCAGATCACTGTCAGGCTGTGTCACAAGAAGAAGGGGAGCTCCTAAATTACCCCGAAAACAGGAGTGGAAGGTCGAGGGGAAAGGGGAAGGAACAAGGAATGAGGAGAGATATAGTGGAGGGCATGGGTCCACCCAAAGCGGGAATCAGAAATGAAAAATAAGTCTGAGGAGGAAGGGTGGTCACCCTTTACAGGGTCTGGAAGGAGGGTGGGTGATGCTAGGGCAAATCTGCAGAAAGTTACACTGCCCGAGGCTGGGGAGTCTCTGTTGAGGAAGCACCTCATTGAGGCCCTGGCTCTCCTCTGCCCCATCTGGGACAAAGCCTGCCAGGCTTTCTGGGATGCACGGAGGCTGAGGCTGTAGTCCTCATCTCTCATCAGCCTGGCAGTGCAATCTGGATATCACCTGGCTGCTGCTTGGCCCGCGGCGCTGCTCCGGCAACCTGAATGTCTCGGCTTCTTGTGCCAATGTGGCTAGCGCCTGGGGCTCCACTGGGCCAGAAGCCACCGGAAGCTGGCTTCTCTCCCACCGTACCAGAGGCCTCAGGTCTGGGTCCCCGTTTCCTCTCCACCCTTGCCAGGACCAGGAATGTGCTCTAGAAGCATCCGCTTACACAGAACAGTCCTCCATGTTCCCGAGGCCAGCTGCACAAAGGGGCCTTGGAGGGCACAAAGGGGACCACTGGCGTCCACATCGGAGGACTATACTGTATCAGTGCTCCTGCTGCACACAGACAGGGAGGGTGACTGCGGTGGCCCAGCGGTCCCAGAGACAGAGTGCCTGCAGCAGATCCAAGCCTCCCATGCTTTCTTGAAATGAAGCCAGAGGAGGGTGATGGCCCCGGCCCTTGTGTGTACTGTTGTACACTCCCTTCGATTCTCTAGGTGGACATGGGGACACAGGGAAATAACGAAAGTGATGTGAGAGCGGCTTCTGTGCTTGACACTCGCTGGGTAGTGACACCCGACAGCTCCAGAGAGCAAAATCAAACCCCTGTGAAATCAGGC